ATAAAATTTTATATAATTGATAACATTTATATTCTATATAAATTTATTGATCAAACTTTATTTAAAAGTTAAATTAAGACAACTAAATTTGAGTAGAAAAAGTAATTGATAATTAAGAAAATAATCATTATTTATTATTTAACTGATTTAAACTAATTTATAATGACATTTTCAAATATGATAACTAATTATTTAAGAAAAATACTACAAATAGAGAAAATATCAATTGAATTAAATAATTTTTAAGTAATTTTAACAAAATAGTAATTCACTATAACTATAACCATAATAATCGCATACTTATATCTGCATCCATTTTCCTTCCTCTTTTTCTCTAGTTGAAAAACTACAGCATACTCTGGATACTGCTCGAGATGCACCAGAGAATTGAACGGGTGAAATTCAATGGGTATCAAGAATGGCGTTTGTACAGCCGGATATGGAATTGCTAAATTCCTCTGTATTTTTCCAGTCTTTTAAGTGTGTGTAGCTGGATTGCAGGATTCAGGGTTGGATGTCTACCTACTAGTTCGAGTTTAATAGAACCGACTCACTGTCATACCTACAGAAAGTCCAATACACATTTCAGCTGACGGAAAATCAAGAATTAGCAAGGCCCGCTGCCAGAATATATACATTGAACCCACAAAAAATTGGATTAAAAGACTTAATTATCAAATACTACAAGGTAACCGATATATATCAATTATCACAATCACAAACTACAGTGTAATAAATTTATAGATAAAATCATATATTCTAAAGTTCAGCTTAGGAGAACTGCACTATAAATGTAATTATGAGTTTATTTTTTAATATCTCAAAAATATAAAATATATTTACTATTTATTTTAATTACATTTTATATTTTTTATAATAATAAAAAGACATTAAAATTAAAAATTAAAACAACTGAAAAGCATTTCTAAATGAATTCAACCCATAGGTAAAGCAGTGCTTCATGAGATGCACCAAAGTCCAGCGTACCACATACCGGATCACGCGTGAATCAAAAGAAAGAGGAATTAACATTTTGCATAAGCAGAACAGGGTATTTCCACCTAAACTTGGTACAAATTCTAGCAACAGCAGCTTTAGCAGCGAAGTTCTCCTGGCTTCGTCATCTCCTTTCCAGAGAATATTGATCAAAAACTTCTCCATTTCATCGTCATCTCCAAAGACTTCCTGGACGACAAGCACCAACGCAATCTTCAATAGTGCCAAAATTCTGTGACAAACTGAATCCATATTGATGCTACATAGTTCTGTTCTGGTTTTGAGAAGAGCAGCTGGACTCAAATGTGAGAACAAGGTCAAATTGTTCACCACTTCAATCACTTGCGTGTTTAAATAGATAAATTCACTTTTTGATTAAGTGAATCTTCGAGAAGAGACTCGAAACTGTTCCTTAAAAAGAAAAAAGAAAAAAGAAAAAAAAAGGGACTGGAAACTTCTTTCTAAAAATCTGCTCTCAAAAGTATATTTTACTAGTGTACGTTTTTTTTGTGCTGACAAATAATGGTCTTTACTCCCTAAATACTGAACAAGAATTTACACTAATCTTAAGGAGAGTTGAGCCTCCTTCGGGAACTTAAGCTCATTGTTTTGAAAACCAGATTGGACCAGTTGATAGAACCAATCAAACCAACACCCAATGGTAAGTTTAAACCATTTAAACTGATCAAACCAATAAGAATCAATAACCCATCCAACTGGCCAGGTCAACTTTTTGGACAAAAGTCTTCAAGACTTGTCTCTTCTGGATTTCGAACACCACACCTCACGATAAGTTAACAAGTCATTTGCCCCTAGAGCATCCGGACTTGTTGGGAAGTAAGTTGCAAAAATATTTTCTAAAGAGTACTATAAGACATTTGCCACCCGCAATCTCATTGGGAAGTGAGTGTGGATTCATACACTAAAGATATGTTTGGTAAAGTTTGTGTAACCTTTTATTTTTTTTTATATTGTTTATTAGTGGTAAATTAAAATTTTTATTAAAAGAAAAATTTTAAAGTTGTTTTTAAAAATTAAAAAAAGTGAGTAAAAATGAAGTTTATGAAGAACTTAAATTTAAAATTTTTGATTCTTTTATTGTTTATGGTCTTTTTAAAGTTAAAAAAATATTTTAAAATGTAAATTTTTAAAAAGAAAATTTAAACTTATAAAATATGAATAGTATCAAAAAACTGAAACACTTGAGAAGTTACACCAAACGCACCCTAACTCTCTTGTGCGCTTAAAAGGACTTCTACCACTCGATCTAATCCACGAGAATTATCATTTGAATGCATTAAGATATATTTACTATAATGAAATTGCATAAATTAAATAAATTTAACACATTTGAAACTCGAACTCAAGTTATATTCAAGATAATAAAAAGTTCTTAACCACTAGAGCCACCACTAATCTTTAAAATTAAATTGCATTATATTATATTTAATAAAGGTTAGTGTATATCAATCTCATCTCCCAAAAATAACTAAAGTTTCAACATATATCTAAAAATTGAAATCTCACCCTATTAAATGTTAATGTCTAAACTTGGAAACTCATTATATATTATAATATATCAGCATTTAATAAGATAATTTTTTAAATTTTAAATTGAGTTTTAATTAAATAAAATGATGTTGTTTAAAGTTGAGACTTCAATTTTTTTTTTGGAGATGGGATTGATATCCGTTTTTTCCTATTTAATATATATATTCAAAATTCAATTAACTCAATGTTTTAACTGATTAAACCAATTTAACCATGAAAACTATGAACTAGAGGTGGAAGTGATTTGACCTCCAATTTGGTTTTAAAATCAAAGCTAACTCAAATTAATTCAAAGGAGGCTCACCATTGTGTTGTCATCCTTTTTAATCTAGGGCAAAACTCAATGAAAAACTACTAAGCGTGCCTAGACTAAAACCCAAAAAAGGGAGAAACTCCTAAAGATAGGAGGGAATCCAAGGTGGGAGAAATTCTCATTTTTATTCATCCTCCCAAACCACTAGTAGGGAGAGAGAGGCAAACGGTGGCTAGGGAGAAAAGAAGAGGAGAGGTCAATGGCTATAGGGAAAAGGAGAGAGAGAGGCACTAGTGCTTTGCAAATCTGTGAATTGTGAGTGTAGTTGAGAATTAGTATAATACTGATATTAGTGTAGGTTAATCTTAACTCATCATATAATGATATATAATGATTATAAACTTTAATATTTATTTTAACTTAATGCACTTTTGTATTTATTCTAAAAGGGGTTAATTTTTTAATACACAAATTCTTATCCTATTGATTAATTTCATTTAAGAAAAAGAAATTGACCTGTGAAACCAGCTGGAGAAATGAACTTTAATACATTTTATTGTTGTTGGCACGTTCAATTATACACGTCAATGAATAAAACAATTTAATCATCACAATTCATCACTCACACACTTTAGATTAGCACAAAAGAACAATAAACTTCCACCGTGGTGAATCATGGGACCTTAAGTCACCTACTTCAAATATCAGCCCAAATATCCTCACCAAGCAATCTGATCTTTCTCTTCACCTCAACCACAAAAGTGGTCCCCTCCGCCATAGATTTTTCCTTGAGGACCACCTTGTCATTTTCCCTGACACCTTTTTCGCGAACAAATTCGTCCCAGCAAACAGAAACCACAGTTCCAGTGCTCTCGTCATGGTGAACAGAGCAAGGGAAACTCCAGGCTTTTCCAGCATTATCTAGTGCATTCATGGACAAAACCCCTTCTTCCGGTATACTTGGTCCCATAGAACAACAAGGGATCGGTAAGTTTTTCTTGACATCGGGTTCAGTTAATAACTTTGAGAACATTACTGCCATCTTGATGTTGCTAACAATCTTTTGCTTGTGGCGGGTTGGATTTCGATTCTGACTGGAGACAAGTGGAATGGGAAGTTGTGGATGTTAAAGATTGAATTTGGTTATTTATTTATAGTTCAATTTACGCGTGTAACACAAAGCTAAGTCATCTGGCCGAACGGTCAAAGAAATTTCAACGATTATCCGAAGAAGATAGCAGAGTCAACCAGAATTCTTAACTTCCAATTGCCTGGTAATATCTGAACATCTTCATGTTCGTTTCGCTTAAGGAAAGAACATTGACTGAGTTGACCTACGTTATGCATTTTCTTCAAATGATAATAAAGCTCTGTTTAGGTTATTGTGTGCCATAACAATGCAGTTTACAGTTTATGACTAACATCATACCTTTAATAGTTTGTTATTCATAATCCAAATGCTCTTATTCGTCTAATTAGAGACAATTAATCCCAAACAGAGCCTAAATTATTTGTTTGAACATGTAAATTGAAGTCAAAAGTTAACAAAGAATTGGTCGTTGGCTTGTTCTGATTATCATATATGCAGAAAATTGTATCGGTCAAAAAATTGTTTCCTTATACATGTTAGATATAATATATTGTCCAAGAAATTAGCATAGAATCATATAGAAACTTCTAAAAAACAAACTATATTGGATTGAGATGCGTTTTACTATTTGATAAGGTGGTGGAGTCTATTCAATTGAAACCCTTCCATTGGAATTAGTGGTAAAATGACAGGATGTGTAGGGATCGCGTCCTTATGGCTTCATGCATTTTCTTTTCTCTTTTTCTTTAGTTGAAAAACTAAAGCACACTCTGGATACTGCTTGGGAGGCACCAGAGAATCGGACAGGTGAAATTCAATGCTGATGGGTTATCAAAAATGGCGTTTGAACAGACGAATATGGAATCGCTAAATTCACCCGTATTTTTCTGGTCTTCTAAGTGCGTGTAGCTGGATTGCAGGATTCAGGTTTGGATGTGTCTAGCTATTAAGTCGAGGTTAATAGAACTGACTCTATTTCATAACTACAGAAAATCGAGAATTGGCAAGACTCACTTCCAGAATATATATATTGAACTCCAAACGCAGCTTACAGTTATCCATTACAGGAGTTACAAAGCAACCGGAACAGATAATCAATAGAATAACCAACCAAAAAAAAGGTGAAAAGTACACACTTAATTATCAAATGCTACAAGACAACCCATATATATCAATCATAACATTCGCAAACTATACAGTGTGATAAATTTGGATAAAACCATGTATTCTCAGTCTCAGTAGCCCTTTTCACTCCCGACCCAAGAGATAAAGCAATACTTCATGACATGCACCGCAGTCCAGCGCACCACAGACCGGATCACAAGTGAATCGAAAGAAAGAGGAATTGACGTTTCGCATAAGTAGAACAGGGCGTTTCCACCTAGAATTGTTGTAAATTCCAGAAATTCCAGAAACACCGGTTTCAGCAGCGAAGTTCTCTTGGCAGTGCCATCTTTTTTCCAAAGAATATTGAAGAACATCTCCATTTCATCGTCTCCAAAGGCTTCCTTGACTAGAAGCATCAATAAATTCCTCATTACTGCCAAAATTCTCTGACATACTGAATCCATATCGATAGCACGTAGTTCTGTTCTGGGTTTGAGAAGAGCAGCTGGCGACAAATGGGAGAAGGAGGCCAATTTGTTCACAACTTCATACTTATGGTGGTTACACAGCAATTGCTGTGTTCTCACAGTAACACGTCCAATAAAAGCCGCAAAGTACACTTTGCTTGTTTATTTAATTTTTAAAAAAAATTATGTTCAAAATTTAAAATTAAAAAATTTAGTATATATATTTGTCTCTCTTACAAACTTAAAAAAATATATTTAGTCAAATATTTTAAACTTAAGAATAAAAATGATATGCCCACTACTATAATTAATTTTTTAGGTAATTAACTCATTTTAATTACTTAGCTTTCTTATTTCATTCAAATTTTTCTTCAATTAACATTAAATTTTTAAAATTTTCTACTTAATCGACAATAGTACAATTTCTTTTCTTTTTTTTTTTTCGTTGAGCAAGAGTTTTTTTTCAATTTGGTTCTAAAAATTTTTATTTAGATTGTAGCTTTCATATAATACTCTAATATCTTTAAAAAATTAAAAAATTTATTATATTATTCTATTATATTTATATTTTTTTAAATCTATTATATTGTACTTTGTAAGTATTATTTTGCAATAAAGAATTATTTAAATTTTAAATTTTACTGTACTATTAATTTTACTAATGCATCAAAAGCACAGTTGCACAAGACTAAAGAGAGTAAGCTAATAAGATAATAAACTAACATTTTAGCTATTGTTTTTGGCTGGTGGTCTGAGGTGACCATAAAATAGGTTCTCTTGTATTTTTGCTTTGTTTGAAAAAAAAAGTAAATATTGTCTCATTTGAATTTTTTATTAATTTTTAAGAATTTAATGATTTTACATATTAAATTCTAGAGATTAGATTCGAGTAATTTCATTAAAAAAAGTAAAGTTAATTTTATCACCTTTTCTTTTATTTTATAATTCTTTTTTTAATCATATATTCTTCGTTATTATTTTCATATTTCTATATTGATATATATATTTGCGACTTCTGCCATTTTACCTACAAATTCTGACTATGCCATTGATAGGATTGCGGGCGCTAACGATCAAATCTAAAACTTTCAAGAAAAAATAACTTGTGAAGTTAAGTAGAGAGAGGGGAAAAACAATAACTCTTACTAAACATACTCGAATTTCATGTTAATTTTGGTTATATTGTAAGTTTGTTTATTGATCGATGTTGATGAGTGGATATCTATCGGAATATATAAAAAATACTCTACATGAATATATATTGTAACGTGTACTCTTATTAAATTAAAAAAAATTAAAATTAAAATTAAAACTTAAAAAGTCTAAATAAGGACACTAACTTTGAGAAAAGGACAATCAAGGGCACCATATTTTACTAGGCACAATTCAAGGCCAAATTAATTACTCAATTGAGGGAAATAAATACACATTTAATGGTAAGTATACACGTGGCAAATGCAACCGTGACAATATTAAGCCATTCTTTGACTATTTAAAAAGGGTTTTTTTATGGGATTTTGTAACCTATACTCTTAAAGTAAGTAGATTAGATTTCATTAATTATAGTATTTATAATTAATTTTACATTAATTTTTATATTATATTCAAATATAATATTTGTATTCAAAATTTGTAAAAAATTATGAATCTAATATAAAATTTTTTACAAAATTAATTAAAAATACTCTCATTAATGAGTCTTAAGAGTACAGATTAAATAAATCTTTTTTTAATTTTTAATTTAAAAATGCAAGTTAAAGATACAATTATTATACCTTTTTATATTAATTAATATTGAAAAAATAAAAGTTAATCTTTACTTAAGCAACTACCCAATTAAAAAATCTACGTAATACTAATGATAAAATTAATAATATTTTTTATATTTTTAAAAAATATTAAAAAATATAAAAATTGCATCCTTAGGGTACAAATTTTTTTTAAAAAAAAAAACTTAATTAAAAAAAGAAATATAACCCATTAAGAGGGAGAGAACGGCTTCGAGCCTCTTCAAGTTAGTCAAAAAAATGGCCTAATGATATTGTGCTTCGCAGTTTAAGGTGTCCTTATTTGTTCAAATTAAATAGTTGGTATACCTAATTACACTTAGTAAAACATTGTGTCTTTGATTACAATTGAGACCGAAGATGGTGTCCCATAATTTTGTAGCCCAAAGAAGAAGCCAATTAACAAGATCCGAAGTGTAGAATGCTGATGAGAAGAATGTTAACAGTCCAACAGATGTCATGGTTTGGATTTGAGGCCGGTTGGATTTGAGGCCGGTGTTTTTGGGCTTGTAAAGTGAAAGGAATGTTGCTTGATGTTATCCAACCTAAAAAATAACATTTAATTTTGGCAATATTTTGGGATTTGCATTGCTTGAGTTCTAAGAAATTGACCAAATTTTTTATAGTGCCTATCTCCATTCAAAATTTTTAAATTTTTTATAAGGATTGAGGAAAATCAGAATGACATTTAAAATGTTACAATTCCTTAATTTTTACTTATTTTAATTATATATAAACCTATTATAATAACAAAATTTTTCTTAAAATTCACAAATAAATATCCATTGAGTCTTAGTTTATAAGCTCTTAAATATACTCTATTTGTGACTTTGACTAGGTTCCAATTTTCTTGCCTCTGTCCAAGAAATTTTGTTGGGTTTTTGTTTGTTGATAACCAATTGAACTCTAATTTTGATGGGTTTTTGTTTCATATATTGGTTTCCATGAGAATTAAATCTCAATCTCAGAAAACATTTAATGCACAATATACTCATTAACCCTTGATTAATTTATTTGATTTTTTTGATTTTTTTTATATTTTTCCAGTATGATTTTCTTAACAATGAGTTTTGTTATTAAGATGGATTCGTTTAATTATTGATGATGTTCTCACATTCTCAGTGCAATGGCACTATGTTTGATGTCTGATTTTCAAGTACTTTTTATGAATCAATATATTTAAAATTAGGAATTAGTTTGTTAAAAAAAATAAAAATTAGTGTTTATCTGCCTTATTTTTTTAAAATTAAAAAAATATATTTTAAATTTACGTAATTTTAATAAAATACTATATAAAAAGATAAAAAAAACACTTTAATTTATACTTTAAAAATAATTTTCAATAAAAATTTATTAAAATGATATAATTTTGAGATGATTTTTTAAAAAAAATTTAAGAGGTAAAATGAATAAATATTATTTATTTAAAATTATTAATATTTTTTTAAAATATATAAAAAATACAAATAAACAGCACGAAGCGCAACTTGAAGCCTATTTCTTATTATTATTATTATTTTAACATGGTACAATTAGTGATAGAAAAATGGATAAATACAATTCGGAACCTTTGTCGCTGGTGCTACCGTTTCTTTCTCCAAAGAGCTTGGCCTTTAGACCACATGATGGTGGTTGGCAATTCAGCCTCTTTTATATTAATAAGTGAAAGGTATCATATCGTTTTCACCCCCAATCGATGATGCTAAAGGACCTACCTTGACTGGCACATATAGTACTATATACTTTGAAAATGACATGAAATAGTCATAACTAGGTGAGGTTCGATCTGATGCGGGACCGAAGAAAGATACTTTTTGCTTTATATTGATTATTGAATGCCGTATTAGAAACTGCATTGAATGAAAACCGCAGACAAAGTTGTTGAATTTAGCCGTTCTCAACAACACTAGATTTATGACTTTTTCAGAGTATATGTTTTGAGGTCGTTGCTTTCGTTGTTTATTTTATGTAGATTGTACATGTTTAAGTACTGATGAAAATAATTATTTAAGATTAAAAGTATATTTTTAACTATTGATTATGTAAGATGTATAATTCATGCATCACTTATAATCATAACTCTCGTTAATGATTATAGTTAAAATCTATAGAATGTACTATTTCACTTTTTTATATATTTTTTAAGTATTTAAACATATACCTTAAGGTCATGTATTAACAAGATAATAAATATATTTTTTTATTATAAATTTATATTAAAAATTAATATTTAATTTTTTAATTATTTAATTAAATTCATTTATTTAATATCAACATTAAAATTAATATAAATTTTATATTTTTTTATATATATTTATAATACAAAAAATCCCTTTTAAGATACAAATTAAAAAAATCAATATTCTTTTTAGGCAATCTTAATTATAATTAAAAACATGACAATAAGGCGGCTTAGTAATTATGGCAATCCCAAACTTCCAAGAGTAGGGGAGTATAATATAGGTTTATTCTTTAATTTTATGGGCACAACCGTCCAAGTTCACAATTTACACATATGTATCATATTATTTTTTAACATTCACACATGTATCATATTATGAACATGAATCAATCAAAACATTGCATTAATTAATTTTCGAAGTACAAATTAATCAATCACCAAAGTAGAAATATTATATATAAAGCTGATGCAACCCGGCTACTTTTTAAACTTAAAATTTCAAAATTTTCAAACCTTTGACATGAATTATCTTCTCTTAATACACTTTTACACTGTTCTGTTAATAGACATTAGGTAAGACGTTATCTTAACCGGTAGCATCTATAATTTTCAATAGAAATTAGGTAATACTTTTCAATCATGCATAGAGTATTAATTATTTACACCAATAGCATCATCACATCTACTACATCTACAACTGAAATAATTAATTCCACCTATAGTTAGAATTTAAAATCTTTGATTTGAAGTTAATATCAAATGGTTAATCCTCTAATATAAAAAAAATTAAATTGAACTAATTCCAGTAGTTTAAAGATTTCATTAACTCTTAGTATTTCTGTATTGTTAATTAACCGCTATCTGGTGCAACTGAAATCTCAATGATTTTTATTTTTATTTTTTTCTGAAAGAGTGGGAGTGGGCTAGGTGGTTCAAGATCAAGATTCAAGACCCTATGGGGGGGGACAATTTATATTAGTTTAATAGTTTTTCAGCACGCCACAATAAAAAAATCGGACACACTACAATAATTAATCTGGCATCTTCCTTCTTGTGGTCTTAAATTAATATTATACTACTACTACTACTATACCTCCTTATCATACTTTTATCTTACTTATAAGGAAAAAACTCATTTTATATCCTTTTTTGGCCAACAAACTTATTTTATATCTAAAAAACATAATAATTAGTATTGTGAAAATGTTAATAATTCTAAGCCATCATAATAGGAAAATATATTTATATGTTTAAAAAAAATAAAAAAACAATTAATTTGTGACAAATTTTAAATTAAAAAGAGATAATTATTTTTGATTGATGGAGTAGATATGACAATTAAATTACTTCCTCGATTCTAGAATAATAGACGTTGTTTGGGTAAGTACTCCTAGTACTCTTTTTTAATACAAATTTTGATTCATCGAAAAAAAATTTATAATTTTATTTCAAATTAAGAATTTAGGGAGAGTTTTCACTGTTACTTATATTATCATAAAAAATAAAACAATAAAACTTAAATCATAATAAAATGAATAATTAAAGTTAAGAGGTAATAATAAAGTTAAAGTAAGAAAAAGATATTTATCTTTCTTAAAATGTGAAAAATAACTATTATTGCAAGATAAAATCTAAATAAAAAATGTTTATTATTCTAAAAAAAAATGAGAAGAACTAAATTATTTAATTTTTTATATTGATTTAGTGGGTGTGAGAGTTAAAGTTCCAAATAGTGCTAAAAGACATACGTCAACTTCAATGGTAATAGCTAGGAATGTTCGTCCTTATTGCCTCGTAGGAAAATTGTGTAGTCCACTCTTGACCTTATGAATATTGCGAGAGACCAAATTGATGATTTTAAAGCTCAACAAACTTTCTTATCACTTTCCCATTCTGTTCGTGCTGGGAGCGTGTTGTTCCTACTCACCATCACTTTAGTGTACATATATATATAAATATGTTAGTCAGATTTGATAAAGAAAAATATATAATAGTTTGAGTCTCCTAGTTTATAGTTTGAATAGTAAAATAGAAGTTATTGAATAGGGGTTAAGTTTTTAATATTAAGGAGTCTACCTTATTGAATTGTTAATATTGTGTAATATAAACTACACAATACTTTTTTTTTTTTTTTTTTTTGTGATAAAGAAAAATATTTAATAGTTAGAGTTATTTGTATAGCTATTTAATATATAATTCATTAGATTCATCTCATTCCTTTATCTTTAGTAATTAAAGGACGTATAAATATGGTTCATAAAAAGCATTAAGGATACGATCTATGTGCCTCGAATATTCCCAGAGGTACGTGTGTAATTAAGATATATCTATTTGTTTAAAAGAAATTATATGGTAGTAATTAGGTTGAAAGGAGAGAGCAATTTGGGCTATTCACCTAACTGGTTTTGTTAGGTGGATAGACCTTTGTTTCTATGTATTCCTTCCCCTCCAATTTTGTAGTATGCATGTTCAAGAAAAAAGAGGAAAATGTTATATAGTGGTCTCTCTTTTTTCTTTTAGGTGGATCAAATTATTAACAGAAAAGTTATGTCTGCTGACATTGCTAATTAAATTTGGACATGTTTTTGCAATTTGTGAAGTTGAAGGGCAGATTTACAACTGGATGGTTAAAAACTTAATTAAGACTTTAAGTTGCAGATTTTGAATTTGAATTTTGAGATGAGTGTGGAGGAATTAAGAAAATAAAAAACTATCTCTTATTATATAATTTATTATTTGACAAAAAAAAAAAAAAACAACAACAACAACAATTGGAAGGTTGATTTTTTAGCTATTCTTTCAATACCAATATAAATAATAGGGAAACTTATTCTTAAGTGATTTGGTTAGAATTTCATTTTGGATTAAGTGGAAATTTAATTTTGTGTTTTACATAAGTGAATAACATTGATTAAATTTATCATAAGTGTATTTGATCATTTAAAAAGTCTATTCTATCCTTTACACAATTATGTGCTTATACGAAAATTCTTATTAATTAAAATACAAAAAAAAAAAAAAAAAAAAAAAAAAAACCCTATTTTAACATGGACTATTTCAATGCTCATGGCCACGATTTCTCTTGTATTTCATTGAAAGAAGGATTTCAGGTACTTTTAATTACGTTTTCAACACATGAAAAATGAATTGAATTTTTTAATTTTTGGGTTAATCTTTGATTAGATTAACAGTTACCATTTTTTTGATGATTGCAAAGTGATGGATGGCATTAAGAAAAATGATTAGCATACCTTTTAGTTCAATAAACCTTTCAACACTTGTTCAATTCAATCGTTAAAATATAATACGAGTATAGTTAATTCAGTTGATTCCTGCATGCTATATGTATAACAACATCTTTAAATTTGTCTGTTTTTAATTTCATACCAAAAAATAATAATTTTTAATGAGTGTATTATATAATATACTAAATATAAAATTGTACCAATCAATTTAACAAAATGATTATAGGAAGCAAGTTTGAATATATTTATGATATATTTTGCAGCAGCTTTTTCACTCAAATGGAACATAATTTTAGATTTCCACTAAATTAAGAACAAAAGTGGAACGAAACCACTTAAGTATAATTTTCCCTAAATAATAAAAAGGAAATTAAAGAAAAAGAAAAAAAAGGGAGAAAATATTAAGAGACACATAAAATAATTCTACGTACCATTCGAAACATTTTTAATAAACATCAAATTTTACATGAGCTTATTAACTAGTATATGTATACAGTAAAATACAAGATTTTGGAGGAAGAAAAGTGAACAAGTAGCTTGCTAGATATTTACTTCTGAACATAATTATCTGTTCCCATGCATGATCCCATTTCAAACTGTAAATCTTACACCCTGCATAGTTAATCTTTCAAGGAAAAAGAAAAAAACTACCATATACAAGCATTAATAACTTTTAAAACCATGACCAGTTAATTCAGAAACTAATTAACAACTGGTACCTATAAATGCCCAAAGGCAAAGTCTTGGGGTCATGGAAACCTTCTAATCCAATTGAAGAAATTTCGTAGATGGAACTCCCTTGACGTTGTCTTCCTCCAACTTCTCTACGTCAACCCAGATGTCCTCCCCGAAAAGCCTGAAGGCTTTTCTCAGCGCATGAATTCGGAATCTCCTTTTCTTCGTCTCTTTACCTTCAACGCGGAGAAGGAGCTTATCGTTTTTCTGGAGGCGCTTGTCCTGCACATAAGCGAGCCAACCGGCGGACAGCACTGGTTTCGGATGGACATCTTTCTGCCTTTTGGTGAGACGAAAATTCCATGGCTTCTCCTCGATGTCTATCGCTTCGAAATTTACCTTGAATTCTCCCTGTTGGAACTCAAAGGCGTCTAGACTTTCCATCGGAACTGAAAACCTAACTTCTATGTCCGTTTGAGAAAGTAGCTTGGAGAAAAGCAACTGCATTTTTTTTTTTTTTTTGCAACTTTCAATATCTTTGGAGTGCTCGCACTTTCTCTTGATAGAAATCAAAGTAACCTGGGTATATATAGAGGAGACATGATCATATGATATTAATTTATCTATCGTGGGTCGACAGATCTATTTATGGAACCATCCAAGTTAGAATCCATCATAATCTATATTTCTTTTATGTTTTCTTTTTAATGGAGACTCACTTTGTTTGATACATCAATGTCAAGAATGCGCTGTAACGAATTAAGCTATTGTCTGTAGTGTCAAGAAATTCTAAATAGGTATAGTAAATCAAGATAAGCTCAATTAATTGCTTTAGTCATCCGTGATGATATACGTACTTAATCCTATGTAAAAAGAAATTTACTGTCGTTTCACATTCTTTATTGTTTTTTTGTCACATTTGCTCTTAATTTTTCAATTAAGAGAAAAAATGGAAATTATGATGTCATAACACTAAAAAATTTAATGTTAAGATTCTTTGTGAAATTGTTTAAATACCTTTAATGAATTTTTTTTGTTTGTTGATTTACTAAAAGTGTTTTAATTTGTTTATTATCATTCATAAAATTTTAATTGTTAGGATATCCTTATTTTCCTTAATATTAAATTTTAAAGTAAACAATTAAAATGATGATACTACATTAAGTAATATCATCTTAATAGTTGAATTGTAAAAAGTAAAAAAAAGGGGATAATCTACATAAATTTACACATTTGTAAATAAATTATATCTTTTTATTAAAAATTATTTAATTCCTTTCTAATTCTAATTAAGTTTTAGAATAAGGGTGCAGATTGTTTATTAAAAGTATGTAGTTTTGAAATGGAGTTAGAAAAATATTTATTTATTAAAACTATGTACTTTTGGGGTTAATTACGACTGCAATTAAAAAAAAAAATCAATCCGAAATATGCAAGAAAAATTGCCAACCTTTTCGCTGAAAATTTTACTTTTACCATTAATACTACTTTAAAATATTAAAAAGCTTTCATGACTGTTTAAATTAAATATTGTTTAATTTGTGGTTCATAGTCCTGATCATGACATGAAGATAAAGTGTACTTAATTTTCTTAATTTAGACCATTAACTATTATGACTAAATTTGAGAATCTTGACTAGAAGCAGGATATCCACCGATTCGTTATTTATGCAAGCTAGCTAATGTTTGATCTACAAAAGAAAAAGTATACACTTATTGGTTGTTGAAAGAGTAATTAATTATTTGTCTAGTGGCCATTGCTAGGAAGCTTCGATGCACTTGGCGATGAAGAAACACAAGTGATAAGTCTGAGTTTTTCAAACTTTGGCTTTTTCAATTTAATAAAGCTGCAATAAACCCAACCACGTTTTGTCTGGGTAGAAAACAGAAGCAGTAGGACCCACACGCCACTTCTGTTGCTTTTGCTAATCCAAATTGCAAGAAAAAGAAGGAGTAACATGATGAGTTTCAATATTGAAGAATTGACTTGACAAAGAATTTGAAGCAATATCATACACAAATTCTGTGTGCTGGTAGATTGATATGAAGTAAGGCCAAATACTTCTTTTGACATATATACTTCAATTTTATTTTTATAAAAAATTGAAAATCACTAAAGATTCTCTCTCTCTATATTATGAATTATAGAAAAAAGGATAATTATATATTTTACTTTTCAAAACCATTTATTTCATGGCAATTATCACTAATAATATATTTGGCTAGAACAAAGAAGGATATTTTAGTAAAAAGAGGTAAATTAACCAAGAAAAAGTTAGCTAAGCAAATTAGAACTTCAAAAGCTTCCTTTGTAAGGTAATTATTATCTTGCTAAATGTGAACACACGGTTGACATAAAGATGGACATAAGATTCTGAAAAGAAATTGCAAGGTATAAAACTCATATTGGGGTTTGATCCTTTCTTTTCGAGATGAAACAAAAATGAAAAGTCACAGATTAAGAATCAAATTGATTAACTTAGAAAGAGAGAGGTGATCCACATGGGTAAATAGCAAAATGATAGAGACTGAAATGATATTTCTTTTAGTAAGATTTGAGTTTTTCTAACTTAAGCAAATGGTCAATGAAATTATTAATGATAAAGTTAGAGAAATTGTGCACCTATCATCGCCGAAGATATGACAAACAGTTTTAATTCTATTTGAGAGAAGACTCCTTTTTTAGATTAATTATGTTTAATCAATCTGCATGCTTAGATTAAATTTTAATTTTTTTGGCTAAATGCAATCAATCATGATTCTTTGAATTAGACTAGTCATCAATCTAGTCAAGAAATCTATATAAGTTATATTTAGTAGTTAATTTGTATGTGTTAATTAAAGTTTAATTTCTTAACTTGACAAAAACAATCATAAGACCCATTATCATCAAAAGATATGACCAAAAGTTCAAATTCTAGTTGAGTACTCTTTTTTTAGACTAATTATCTTTTGATCAATAATTTGTATCTATTGATTAAAATTTAATTTCTTAACTTAACGAAACAACAATAGGCATCTAAATCAGATTAGTTATAAATCAAGTGAATCATTTTTAATATGCATGGTTTAAAATTTAATTTAATTTTCATAACTTGACAAAAACAACAGTAATACCCACCATCATCATCATCATCAAAAGAAACAACCAAAAATTCCAAGTCTAGTTGAGAAGATTCATCTTTTTTAAACTAAGTTTTATTATATCAATAATTAGCATGCGTGTGCTAATTAAAAATTAATTTCTAAACCTAACAAAAACAAGCATGGTTATCTGAGTCAAAGTAATTATCAATTTGATCAAAAAATCTAAATGAATTATTTATAGTAGTTAATTAACATCCGTTGATTGGAGTCATTTCTTAATCTGAATCAAAATATTTATCAATCTTGCTTAGATGTATACAGTTACTAACCTAGCTAGTACTAGTGCTAATATTGGTCATTAATAACAATGCTTATTAAGAATTACTAGTATTAAAGTCAAATAAAAAATGTGTCACTGAACCCAACCAAATGAAGCGACGTGTAATTAATTGAATTGATGAAATTATGGAAGAAAAGCATGACTTGGTGGCATTGATTGACCAACACCAATCTTTTCTATTTTGTAGGTGCGCCCACCAAAACGCCAGATCGTAGCGTGTTAGAACTGGCGATCTGGCCGTCGTACGGACGATTCGACCATGCCAGCAAGTAGAAAAAAGAGTGACAATGATGCTTGAGTTTCATTATCTAGTGTAGGATTGTGGGTCCCAAGAAAAAGACAGAAGCCAATCGGCCGACCCACCTACGATCATGGCTTCGATTTGGTCGTGGTCGAACGTTTCTGTCCGAGTCCAAGGCATCACATTGGTCCTTCGTGGCAAAGATTTGATTATTTCTTCTTATTTTGATGAAAATGACAGCTCTGAACAAAACTTTGAATTCTTTTTGATAAATTGCAAACTTCAAAGATGATTCTTCACTTAAAATTTTGTTTTATTATTTAAAAAAAAAAAAGTTTAACACCTACTTTTACCTAACTGTTGTTTTAATGGATCTTTTTCGGATTTACCACAAACACTGTTGTAGTGGACCGAATCTTTAATAGTAGACTTGAGAATTATAGCTTAGCTTTTGATGAAGCAATTGTTACTTGGGCCAAAACATGGGCTGTTCTCCTTGGAACGGTGGCAAATGCCCCCCGCCAGCCGCCTCCGCCTCACCATCATATTGCCGTGAGCTAAGTCAATTTTGGTAAGAAGAACTCTACGAGAAAACTGTCATTGCTAATATTGTATCATGTTTGTAATGTAGTGAAAAAGGTTTATTGGATATTTGAGTACCCTCTTAATAAAATAACTCTTTTGTGTCATTGCTAATATATACCGACGCAAGTTATGATTCTTATGAAGTTAATAATGTTGCTTTAGATTGAATTCTAACATTGTGTTTTTTTATATATAATAAATGTATTAAAGACTGAGGATCTAGCACTAGCCTCTTTGTTTACAGCAAAAGGAGCATTCATCTTAGCTTTGATTTTTATTTTCCCTTTATTTTTCTGCTTTTTTTTATTCGATGACATGGGTCCAAGACAATTAAAATGCATGTCGAAATAGAGCAGCCTGTTGGACCTACTATAAGCTTAAAGGAAAAAAATCTGCTTACCTTATTTACAAGAATCTGGACGATGCTAGCTAGAAGCTAAGATACATTGGTGACAAAGTCACAATCATAGCATTATAGAAATTAAAAATGACAAATTTACTCAACATATATATCCAAAAGCAAGCTCATCATCGGTTGCTTTAAATGATCTACCTGAACAATTTAAGAAATGATTGGCGATAAAAAGATTAACAAATTGAAAACGATCACATATATTTTAATATTCTGAGCATCATCTGATTCTTCCACAGAAACACAAGAGGCTGTTTCATTTCAACATTCATTTTTAATGTAAAAACTACAGTGCAGATATATACATAGTGTAGATTCAACCAGTTGAGCACAATACCAATAAATTAGAAAAAACAAACTTTAAGAAAGCCGTACACTGTTTTAACTAAACTAAGCTAGCTAGACATATATTTTCATGATTATTAATTAGATCCCATGATCCGATGATTCCATCCCAGACTCTAAATATTATACACTGTATTATTTTCTAATTAACAGAAAAAGCAGAATCATGAGGTATGTAGTAGAACCTTCTAATCCCGTCAAAGAACTTTCATGGGCGGAACTCCCTAGACATCTTTCTTTGACTTCTCTACGTCGACCCAAATGTCCGATCCCCAAAGCGTGAAGGCTTTTCTCAGCGCTCGAATTCGGTATCTCTTTTCCTTCTCTTTACGTTCAACGTGGAGAAGGAGCTTATCACCTTTCCGAAGACGCTTTTTCTGAACATAAGCACGCCATCCAGCGGACAGCACCGGTTTGGGGTGGACATCATTCTCCCTTTTGGAGAGGCGAAACCTCCATGGCTTCTCCTCGATGTCTATGGCTTTGAAATCTACCTTGAATTCACCCTCTGCAAACTCAAAGGCACCAAAACTTTCCATCGGAACTGAAAGCCTCACATTGATATCTGTTTGAGAAAGTAGCTTGCAGAAAAGCTGCGTTTGTTGGCTTTCCATTTGGAGTAGTAATCACTTTCTCTTGATAGAAATTAAAGTAACCCAAGTGATGACATATATATATATAGATGTTATCTTATTTAATCTTTCCGTTAATTATGGATCATAAGGTATGGTGGGTCCAAAACAATGATCGCAGAACCATTCACTTAGATTCCATACATTCATCACTATTTCTTTTCTTCTAGCCTTTTGATGGACTCACTTTCTTTTTGATGGGACTCCAACGAAAATGTGAATTTCAAAGAGTCATTAATAAAAGAATTGATGTGAATTCATAACTAATGGTGACATTTCTGGCTTTTTTTAGTCTGAATTGATTTTTTTTT